CAGTAGGAACTCAGCTCAGATCCCATATTCCTCATTCTCCTTGGTACTGGAAGCAGAAAGAGTTCAGGGGGGCTTTATTAAATCATCCATCATCAACCTTAGAAGCCATCTATATGGATACTTACATTTTTTTTAGAAATCCAGAGCAGGAAAGTACGTTGCCAAAGAGGAAGATCCAGAATGAAACTCCAGGTTTACTGATTCTCATGCCAGTTTACAGCTATTTTAACACTTTATTATTTTCAACCATGAAATTAAACTATCCTATAAAATAAAGAGCTAATATGCTAATTAGACCAGACGGCAGAATGACCTTCTGGAATGACCTTTCAGAAAAACCAGTGTGCAGGGGGTGGGGCCCCAAGAACCAAGGCAGCCGGGACCGCAAGGGCCAACCCTTGCACGAATTTCATGCACGAATTCTCAAGGGTATGTGTGTGTCTCTGAGTTGTAACTTTGAGACACTTTAGAAAAGAGATTTTTATAGATAGGTAAAAAGAAATAGATAGATAGATAGACAGATAGATAGATAGATAATGAGCCTTTTTTGTTCACAATCAAAATATCTTTGTTCATTAGAAATTTTCTATTTCTTAAGGTTATTTTACTCCTGTTTTATCTAATTTAATTTCATAACAAAAGGCGTTTAAGTAAAAGAATAATAGGCATAATAAATGATCATCTGATGTATCTTTTTATTGGGAGATATACTTCCCAGAAAGCTAAGAAAATTAATGACTAATGACTGAATGACACAGAGATTTTTTTTAAACAACACATAGATTTTGATGGGTGTCATGTCACTCTGGTTTTAGAGTCTTTTGAATATATTTGAAAGACTGGTATAACAGTTTTATTTTTAAATGTCACTTCACAATATGTGAAAATTACATCTTTTATAATTATTAATGGTAAAAAATGTTAGATGTCAACTTAAAAATGTAAAAGGGGATACATAATTTCAAAAATACTTTTAGGGAACATCTACTCCAAAACAGAAGAGTATGCAGACCGCTGCCCTAGAGTGAGCCTGATACAACCCAAACTTTGAGAGTGGAAGCAAGCTGTCCTGCCACCGCCCAGTGCAGCGTGGCCAGTCCACCCCCTCACCTCCATGATGCAGGCTAGCTGCTCCACTTCATTCTCCCCGGCGAACAGTGGGTAGCCCGTGTACAGTTCAGCCATGATGCATCCCAGGCTCCACATGTCAATAGCCATGTTGTATGGATGGCCCAGAATCACCTCTGGCGATCGGTAGAACCGGCTTTGGATGTACGAGTACACTATGAGCAAAAGAAAGAGAAACCTCCCCTAGGAAAACCTTCTCCTCCCCAGAGCATCCTTCTCCAGGAAAACCTCTCAGGTATGGGTGAATGATAACTACTATTCCCTACACCAAGCACGTCAAACTCATGGCCTGAGGGCCACAACAAATATTTTTTCAGCCCAGCCAGTATAATGGTATATAAGAAACGTAATAAAAATTTCGTAACTTAATTTTTACAATATCCTGTTATACATAATCTCTCTATATAAAACCCTAATATGCAAATAGACCGAATGGCGGAACAACCGAACAACCGGTCGCTATGACAAGTGTTGACCACCAGGGGGTGTGCACAGAACATGGTGGGCATCGGCAGCAGGTGGCAGAGCATAGAACATAGCAGGCGTCAGTCGTGGTGGGATGAGTGGAGGCACTAGACCAAGGCGGGGTGCTGGTTGCTGTCATCAGGGTGAGCCTCTGGTGGTTACTGAAAATTCTTAGCTCCTGCGTGTCACAGTCCCACCTGGCACTCACACCTGCTGCCGGCGCAGGCCTCGCTTGCACCCACTGCCGGCGCCCAGCTCCAGCCCTAATTGCTCAGCGCCATTAGCAGGTGTGAGCGGTGGCTGCAGGTCCCGATTGCCCCTGAGGGCTTCTCCACCTCCCCCTGCTCCTGAGGGGCAATCAGGGCAGCAGCCAACACTCACACCCACTGATGGCACTGGCCCCTCTAGCATCCGCTGCTGGCGCCGGCCCCAATAGCTCTGTGCTGTCAGCGGGTGCGAGCGGGGTGGTGTTGTAAGCACGTGGGAGTAGCAGTGGCAGGAGTGGGCTGCCGGCAGACAGGGGACTGGGGACCGTGGCTGGAGGGGCAGGCCGGGGGTGCGGAGGATGGGCTGAGACCCATCCCTGTGCCCACCACAGCCTCGCGGCCAACAGTTCCTTTCAAGGTGCATGACTTCGTGCACTGGGCCCCTAGTTATTAATAACAAACTACAACATTCGCTAATGACTGATTGCTATAATCGTGTTGCATTCATTTCACTTATGTGCCTTATGCGCAGGTGCACCATTTCTCTCCACTAATACTAGCAGCGAATATTTTAGCAGCTGATTGCCACATCATTAGTCTTGAACTGACTTGTTTGGTGTTCACAAAAGGAAATTATTTCACTTTTGGAAAACAAGAAAAATAGGTTTATTTGCGTTACACTTACTAATTTGTGCCATTATTCAGTGTCTGGTAAGTTAATGTTCAAGAAAAAATATTAATTTTTATTAAAATGTTCTATTATTTTATGTTAATGATTACTCATTTATTTCAGCCCTTTGTATTCAGCATGTCTCTATTGAAATAAACCTACATTTTGCCCTAATCGGTTTGGCTCAATGGATAGAGCCTCGGCCTGCCGACTGAAGGGTTGCAGGTTCGATTCCGGTCAAGGGCATGAACCTTGGTTGTGGGCACATGCCCAGTAGGGGGTGTGCAAGAGGCAGCTAATCAATGTTTCTCTCTCATCGACGTTTCTAACTCTCTATCCCTCTCCCTTCCTCTCTGTAAAAAAACAATAAAGTATATTTAAATTTGAAAAAGAAATAAACCTACATTTCTATAAAAATGGAAGCTTTTGTTTTTTTGCAGCCCACATAAACTTAAACCTTGTTTATTTGGCCCATGTTAGCCTTTGAGTTTGACATGCTTGCTCTACGGGCTTTGCAGAAAACTGGAAGTACAACCGAGCGGCACTCAGGAGTCACATCTTGTATCTAATCTCATCAAATCTTACAGTGCAGCCTTGTTATAGAGGTTATTATCCTCACTTTATCGATAAAGAACTCTATTTCCCCATGGTTCTAGGAAATCAATTTTAGTCAGCTAAACTTTAAAAAAAGGAAACACGCCCTAACCGGTTTGGCTCAGTGGATAGAGTGTCGACCTGAAGTGTCCCAGGTTCGATTCCGGTCAAGGGCATGTACCTTGGTTGCAGGCACATCCCCAGTAGGGGGCGTGCAGGAGGCAGCTGATCGATGTTTCTAACTCTCTATCCTTTTCCCTTCCTCTCTGTGAAAAATCAATAAAATATATTTTAAATAAATAAAAATAAAAAAAGGAAACGTAAGACTAATATCAAGCTGACTTTCCAAACTGTCATATTAGTTTGGGGTAGACATCTTCTGAAAGTATTGTGATTTGGCAAAGGAGGAGGCGTATGAGAACTGAAAAAGAAGCACACAAAAGGCACAATTTAAAAATGTATATTCAATATATTATGCACATATGTTGTTTAATGTAAAATGTGGACGGGAAAGCTCAGTGGAATCTCAGGAGTCGAGGCTGTATGGAAGATGATATTATAGGAAGACCGAGGTTGGAGAAATGGGACATTTTCATTGTTTCCAAGTGCTATTATTGGTGATTCTCTGCATGGGTCAGGGCGGGGATTCTGTAATCCCTTCTTTGTTGTTTGTCTTGGTTATAGTAAGGATATGATAATTTTGTGACTAAAGACAAAATAAAGATTTAATAAAAATCACTTTCATATCCTGCCTGCTTCCAAAATAGATTTGAAGCACTTTTCAACTAAAGTACATACATACAGGGTAGTGTTAAAAACTGGGTTTAACAGATACTTGCATAGTGCTTACTATGTGCCAGCCACTATTCCAAGTGTATTATACAGATGAACTCTTTCAATCCTTACAACAACCCTATGAAGGAGGTACTATTATTGCCCCCATTTTAAAATGAGAAAAATTAGGCATACAGAGATTAAATAAATGGTCAAGGTCTTTCATCTATAAGTGGTAGAACTGGGGTTTGAATCCAGGCAGTTCAAGTCTAGTGTCTCTACTCTATACTGTCACACAGTTAAACAAAAGATAAAGGGAAATGTATAAAGAGGGATATGACTATCAGAAACCAAGGATAAAATAATTATAAGTTTGCTTCTGAGCATTCTGCCAGCCACAGTAGAATGGTAACTGAGAGGTTACACTGCTTTTCCAGCCGAGAAGAGTAAGCACACGGGTTCTTTGTGGGAGGCATACTGTTTTCTAGCTGGAATTTCTTATGGGATCCATAAAAGGTAAAGGACACATGTCTTCAAAGTGGTGCTGCAGAATATTTGAAAACATCCTTCTAATAGTTATTTTTTCAATCTCAGGAGGCTTCTTCTGCCACCCCTGCCACCATGAAGGCTGCCTCTTCTGTATGCTCTTAGCACAGCCTGTGTGTATCTCTGATCACTGCACCTATCATGTTATTTTTCTGTGTCTTCCATTGAACTATAAGCAACCTGAGCACAGGTTTTTTTTGTTCCTGGTATCCAGGACAGTGACTGACACATTGTAGATACTCGATAAATCTTTGTAGAATGGTAATTGTTGTCAACAGCAAACTTGATAAAAGCCCAAAGTAGAGACTAGCAAATCAAGTTCAGCAGTTTGTGCCAATGTTCTCAGGGCTGTTTGCTGGATTCTAGCTTGAAAGAAGTATAAAGCCTAGGGAGCCTAGGGCAGTGAATCCCAAACTTCAGAATGGCTATGTGCAGACTCTTGGGTACTCCCCCAGAAAACTAGATTTGGCACATTGGGGGTGAGGCCCTGGAAGCTATAATTTTTCAGAGGCCACAAGTGATTTTGATGCCCATCTAGTTAGTTTGAGGACCCAGTGCTCCTGGGTAATTCCTAATCCACAGAATATGAGATCTGGTGGCTTTTTTTTTTTTTTTTTTTATGTCTGTAGCCAAACTTATCCCTGAGGCCCAGCAGAGGGGATCAGGGCCCATGCACCACAGTGTTTCTGTGGCAGGCTTCTGGGCGAGATCTGGTGGCTTTAAATCCAACCTTCTCATTTTATAGAGGTGGAAATTTAGTCTCAGAGAAGTGAAGAACCTTGTGCAAAATCATGCAAGCAATTTTAACAACTAAGGCCAGACTAGAACCCAAGTAAACTCGTTATGAAGAACTTGTTTCAGTAGGGAAAGAAATCTCAATAGGAAAATTCAGACAAAGAGACTGGAATGGGGCTTACCTTTCTCATGCTCATAACAGCTTGATCCAAAGTCAATAACTTTAATAGAGACTTGGCCCTTCTGGTGTAACACGATATTTTCCTGAAAAGAAGAAGGACATATGTCACATTTTAATAATGTTGTCCAGGCCTTCTATTGATCTAAATGTCTGCCATCTTCCAGGACCCAGTCCAAAATTAGACTACTTCATGGTAGACTCCTCCCACATTTTCTCCAAATCCCATGTGTTTACCTACCTTGACATCCCATTTGACTTGTGTTATATACCTCTTATTTGCTGCTTTGCAGTATTTCTTTTACATGTATTTTGTCCCTTTCCCAATACAGATTATGCATTTTTTTTTTATCTCCTAGGCACCTGGTCCTATGCCTTGCTTACATAAGGCCTTAGAAATATAACTGACAGAATCTGATGTATCCATTAAGTGCCCAATCACATACAGCTATGAAGGTAGAAGACTAAAACAAACAAACAAAAAGACAATGATTTGATTGGAATTTGTGATTCTTATGCTGACTTTGGGGGAAATGTGAAACCAGGAGTTCTAGTAGTGTCATGGATAGAGAGGCAGACCTCCTGGGCTCGCCTCCACAAGCATGACAGTAGCATGACAGTAATCCCCTGGAAGATTAAACTACTAATTGTGTTTTCAAGAATCTGGATATCAGATGAATTGATTATTATGAATATTGGAAGAATGAATTGTTTACTCAGTCCCTTACCATTCTAGATATGGAATAGCAGGATTAATCCAAAACCTCTGGCACCATAAACTAAGAAAGTACAAATTTAGGGAGAAACCAAGATGGTGGCATAGGTAAACACCAGAGATTGCTGCCTTGCACAATCACTTCAAAAATACAACTAAAAGACGGAACGGACATCATCCAGAACCACAGGAAGGCTGGCTGAGTGGAAATTCTACAACTAGAAGGAAAGAGAAAAGCATACCGAGACTCAGAGGAGGTGCAGTGTGAAAGTAAAATACAGAGGTACAGAGGAGCATGTGGAGAGGGCTGGCGGCTGAGGACACAGTTGTCTTTTTCAATCAGGAGGGAGTCTCAAGCTCTGAGCTCCAGTTCCGGGCGAGTCTCTGGGGATCCAGACTCATACGTGAGAAACTGGACTGTCTGGCATCGGTTGGAACTTGAGGGCAGCTTTCTCTCGGGGGTGCTTGCAGCAATTGCCGGGACACTGAGAAACAGGGCCTCTGAGGGCAGGACTGAGAGCAGCCATTACTGCTTGATCCGCCCTGTTGATCCCCTGGGCCCCGCCCCGTGCACAGAGGCTTTTGCATATGAAAGGCCTGGGCCTTTGCAATCTGATAATCACCTAACAAACTGCAGCTGGCCCAAGGCCCCAGGGCAACTTGCATTGCTTCACAGCTGAGCTCCTGCTGGGTAGCCTCAGGCAGAGGCTAGATTAGCACCTCCTTAGAGATCCAGGAGCCAGTGTGCTTGGTGGTCAGAGTGGGACCATCCAGATTGCAGCTCCTCAGACCCATAAATGACACACTCAGGGGGCAGACTCAGTGAGCACCAAAGCCCCATTGAAGAAAGTCTTGCCCTGAAGGGGTGTCTCCAGCACAGAAGTTTTCCCACTGCAGACACAGCTGATTCTCACAGCCAATTGGCCTGGAGGTCAATTCCTCCCAGTGATACCTACAACAATCAAGGCTTAACTACAACAAGACTGTGCACAAAGCCCACAAGGGGGTGTACCAAGAGTGTCTACCTCAGGTAATTGGGGAGGCTGAGCCACTGGGCCCTATAGGACACCTAGCACAGAAAGCCACTCTATCAACAAAGGGAACCATAAAAAATGCAGAGACAAAGAAACAGAACACAAATGACAGAAATGGAGGAAAGCAAACTACAGGATATAGAGTTCAAAACCACACTTTTAAGGTTTTTCAAGAATTTTCTAGAAACCGCCAATAAACTTAGTGAGACCCTCAAGAAATCTAGTGAGATCCTCGAGGTTGTGATAAAGGATCAACTAGAAATTAAGCATACACTGACTGAAATAAAGAATATTATACAGACTCCCACCAGCAGACCAGAGGATCGCAAAAATCAAGTCCAAAGATTTGAAATACGAAGAAGCAAAAAACACCCACCAGAAAAGCAAAATGAAAAATGAATCCAAAAAATACGAAGATAGTATAAGGAGCCTCTGGGACAGCTTCAAGCGTACCAACATCCGAATTATAGGGGTGCCAGAAGAAGAGAGAGAGCAAGATATTGAAAACCTATTTGAAGAAATAATGACAGAAAACTTCCCCTACCTGGTGAAAGAAATAGACTTACAAGTCCAGGAAGCGCAGAGAACCCCAAACAAAAGGAATCCAAAGAGGACCACACCAAGACACATCATAATTAAAATGCCAAGAGCAAAAGACAAAGAGAGAATCCTAAAAGCAGCAAGAGAAAGAAAGTCAATTACCTACAAGGGAGTACCCATAAGATTATCAGCTGATTTCTCAACAGAAACTATGCAGGCCAGAAGGGAGTGGCAAGAAATATTCAAAGTGATGAATACCAAGAACCTACAACCAAGATTACTTTATCCAGAAAGCTATCATTCAGAATTGAAGGTCAGATAAAGAGCTTCACAGATAAGAAAAAGCTAAAGGAGTTCATCACCACCAAACCAGTATTATATGAAATGCTGAAAGG